AGCCTAAAAATCCGATATGATAGAGGACTAATTGGGCTTGCCATTCACAAAGAGTAGCAGCTACTTACCTCACACAGGTCAGAAGCACATATTTAGACATTTTTGTGGTTTCAGAGGGACCTTATCTCTGCCTGGTTCCATAAAAAGTCATGAAGTTGGTTGTGTATGCTTATTTAGAAATATTATGATATGGATTACAGCAGGGTCATTTTCCACTTGTTCAAATGTTACCTTACTTACACATGAGCAGTGAGCAGCATGTATGTAGAAACCCCAGTGCCTTCTGCTAAGAAGAGAACATGACCATTTGTAGATTGATCTTAAACTCCAAAGAGAAGAGAACTGAATCTATGTTGGTGGGGCCCTTTTAATGCTTCTCCAGCACAGGTGGACCTCAGCTAATAGACCGATTCTATCTTCTGAATCAGGTGCATTGGGAGACTTGAAAGAGATGTCATCATAGACTTGAATTACATGGCCTTTCTTCCTCTGACCGTATGTTTCCTAAGCAATTTTCCATTTGAAATTTGATTTCCAGTGTTAATTTGGATGCTATCCATGGTAGGGATGGTGTTTTCTTCTCTACAACATCTTTATTTCCCAGGTGTTTCTTCATATGAAACTTTTAGAGGATAACAGTTTCTCACACATAGCCACAGCCTTCTGTCTCCCTGTACCTCACCTCACACTGGTGACTACTGCTAGCTCAAGAGTTAACACACCCAGCTCAATAATAACATGTGAGCTCCCTTTATCCTGTGGCTAAAACTCCACTGGGTCTTCATTACACAAGATTAACAAACAATTCAGCAATTCCCCACACAAGCCATCAGAGAAGGCTCTCTGGGACTGTACTTCCTAGTGTCTCTCTCAGTTTCCTTGAGCTCCAATAATACTAGAACACATATGGCCACTTTTAGACTCTGTGAGTTTAAATGTGCTATTCCCTTTACCTTATACACAGCTAAATGTCTCTGCCTAACAAATAAATTCTAATTGTTTCAGATTTATGTGAAATGTAAGCACATACTGAAGTCTTCTCTAACTCTTCAGGTTAGAAGTGGCTGAAAGTACTCAGAGCTCCAGGCACACTTCCTATTCATCTGTAATACTGTGATGATCACTCTGAATTGCAATTTAACTGTTTACAAGTTCGTTCTCCATCCTCTTCTTAAACTAGATTATGGGTTCTTAGGGACTAGCAAATGAACCTCTGTATCACCATAATTTATCACAAAGCCTGACACACAGTAAGTGCTTAATGCATGCTTTCTGTGAGTAGTATCATAATGGTTATAACAATGATTATACCAACATCACAGGCATATACAAAACTGCAGGATGATAAGATAACAGCACCTTGTTGCTCCAATCTGTAATAATGTTTTTGGAAATGAATGATGAAAAACATATCTGTATTTCTGTGAACATACCTGAGACTGACTAATAATCAAGGATTTTTATATGTTCATGAGTTCCATATGAAAAATAAAGCAGTTTTTATTAAATGAGTATTAATGTGTTTGTTCTCAAGAATTTTCTCCCACATCCAAATTTCTTGTCTGGAAAGTATGTGTGGATGTGATGTTCAACATATTTAATAAGTCCTGTGGAAATTACAGGACTAATCAGAATAAATCTGTATAGCCATATGAGAGAAGCAGGGTCCTGGAGGTCCCTCTGGGGCTGCATGTTAACTCTTGTTTCTGGATTAACACTGAGGAGGTTTGAAAAGCCAGGCATCCAGAGTGGCATGGTGGGGGGTGGGGGACATTTTCCAGGGGGATTTGAGCAGTGGTCATTTGAATATTGACTATTTCTTAATAGTCAATATAATTAATAGAGCACACTGCTGTACATCAGGTCTTCTCTCATGATATAAATCTGTCTTTAGTATAATTTGAAGCTAGGTTATGTTCTGGTTGCTTAGGGCTGCTTTGGCTATTCAAGCCCTTTTCTGGTTCCATAAGAATTTTAGGATTTTTTCTTTCTAATTCTGTGAAAAATGACATTGGTAATGTATTGGAATGGTGTTGAATATGTACATTGCTTTGGGTAGTATAGTCATTTTATTGATATTGATTCTTCAAATCCATGAGCATGGGGTGATTTTCCATTTGTTTGTGTCATCTATGATTAGTGTTTTGCAGTTCTCCTTGTAAAGATCTTTCACTTCCTTCATTAAATGTATGCCTATGTATTTTTTTTGGTAACTATTGTGAATGGGATTGAGATCTTGATTTGGTTCTCAGCTTGACTATTATTACTGGTGTTTAGCAATGCCACAGATATTTGCATGTTGACTTTGTATCCTGAAAATTTACTGAAAACATGTATCAAATTTAGGGCTCTCAATGCTATAATAACCAAAACAGTATGGCATTGGTATAAAAATAGACATATAGATAAATGGTACAGCATGGAGAACTCATAAATAAAGCCACATACCTATGACCAACTGACCTTTGACTAAGTCAACAAAAACATATACTAGGGAGAGGACACTCTATTAAACAAATAGTGCTGGAAAATTGGATAACCGTATGCAGATGAATGAAACTATATCCATATCTCTTTCCATATACAAAAATTAACTGAAGATGAATTAAGCATTTAAATGTTCCAGGCATGGTGGTCCACACCCCTAATCCCAGCACTTTGGGAGCCTGAGGTAGATGGAACTCCCCACTCATCTGAGGTTAGGATTTCAAGACCAGCCAGAACAATATGAAGAAACCCCATCTCTATGAAAAATACAAAATTAGCTAAGTGTGGTGGCACATCCCTGAAATCTCAGCTACTCAGGAGTCTGAGGCAGGAGAATTGCTTGAATCCAGGAGGTAGAGGTTGTGGTGAACCAAGATCACACCACTGCACTCCCACAAAAATTAAAAAAAAAAAAAGACTTAAATATATGACCTGAAACTGTAAAAATCCTAGAAGAAAACCTAGGAAAAACTCTACTGAACATTGGCCAAGACAAAGAATTTATGACCAACTCTTCAAAAGCAAACATCATAAAAACAAAAATATATAAATGAGAGTTAATTAAAGGAAAAAGCTTCTGCACAGCAAAATAAACAATCAACAGAGTAAACAAACAACCTACAGAATGGGAAAAATATCTGACAAAGGGCTAATATCCAGAATCTACAAGGAACTGAAACAACTCAACAAAAAAATAAATAAATAACTCCATTAAAAAGTGGGCAACACACATGAACAGACATTTTTTAAAAGAAAATATACAAGCAACCAATAACATATGAAAAACATTCTCAACATCATTAATCATCAGATAAATGCAAATTAAAATCAGAGTGAGATACCATCTTACATCATCAGCCAGAATGGTTAATATTAAAAAGTCAAGAAACAACAGATATTGTGAGGATGTGGAGAAAAGAGAATGCAAATACACTGCTGATGGGAGAGTAAATTAGCACAACCTTTATGGAAAACAGTATGGAGATTAATCCAAGAACTAAAAATAGAACTACCATTTGATCTAGTAATCCCACTACTGAGTATATACCCAATGATATACCAATCATTATATAAAAAAGATATCTGTAATTGTATTTTTCTGGCAGCACTATTTACAGTACCAAAGATAGGGAATCAACTTAAATGTCCACTAATAGATAAATGGATAGCTGGATAAAGAAAATTTGTGTGTGTGTATGTGTGTGTGTGTGTGTGTGTGTGTGTGTCTGTGTGTGTGTAAAATATAATATACTGTGTGTACACATATGTACACATATATGTAACAAATGCCATATTCCATACATATATCATATACACAAACCAGAAATACCATATACCATAGATTCCATAAAGCAGTACTCAGCCATGAAAAAGAAATCATATATTTTGCTGCAAAGATTTATACAATCTAGGACTCCCAAGGCTTAGTAACCAAAACACCATGGCACTGGTATAAAAATAGATATATAGATCAATGGAACACATTAGAGGAACTGGAGGCAATTATCGTAAGTAAAATAACTCAAAAACAGAAAGTCAAATACTTTATGTTCTCGCTTATAAGCGGGAGCTAAACAGAGTACACATGGATATATAGCAGTAAATAATACACATTGGAGATTATAAAAGATGGGAGCATGGGAGGAAAGAAAGGGTTGAAAAACTACCTATTGGGTTACCAAATCTCCTTTTGGGTGATGGGTACACTAAAAGCCCAGACTCTACCACTATGCAATACATTAATGTAAGAAATCTGAACTTGTACTCCCTAAATCTATAAAAATGAAACGTATACATACGCACATATATAAAATAAATCTGCTCTTAGGACTTATAGTTTTAACAATTCAAACCAGCAACCTTAGGATAAGAGAAACTTTATAAGTCAGCATGTAATAATAATGCTTGGAATAAACTCATTAATCCAACGTAAAGATCATTTTCATTTTATTGAAGAGAAATTGAATTATGAAGGTATCACACGACAGTCTTACTATTTAACACCTTATCCATAGAAAGGCAGGGAAAAGCCAGAGAAGCCCATTCCATAAAGAAATCTCTTTAATAGTCTGCTTTTTTGACTGTGCTGAGTTTTGGACCCTTTTAAGCTACATATATTCGAGTCTCTCCTTGCCAAACACTCTATCACTCCAGAGTAAGTAAACATAAAAGCAATTAAAAGGCACCATTTTTAGCAGTTCACATCCTGGAACCCATCTACACAACACCATTTTTAAAACATTTTGATTTTTAATTTTTTGGGGTACATGGAAGGTGTAGATATTCATGGGGTACATGAAATGCCTTGATACAGTTATGCAATGCATAATAATCACATCATGGAAAATGGGGTATCCATCTACTCAAGCATTTATACTTTATGTTATAAACAATCCTATTAACGCTCTTAGTTATTTAACATGTATAATTAAGTTATTATTGACTAAAGTCACCCTGTTGTCCTATCAAATAATAGGTCTTATTCCTTCTATTTTTTTGTACCCATTAACCACAAAAATAGGGAACGTTTCACGAATTTGCATGTCACCCCTGTGCAGGGCCATGACGATCTTCTCTGTATTGTTCCCATTTTAGTACATGTGCTGCCAAAGCGAGCACGCAACACCTTTTTTTTTTTTTTTTTTTTTTTTTTTTTAGCACACTCTAAAATACACTTCAAGGTAGGTATTGCAGGGAGGTAGGTGGATACAAAAATAAAGGCAGTGCTTGACTCTGGGAATTTCTATTACTTTCTCTTTCAAATGTTCTTTTCATTCCATTATGGTTTTGAATTAATGTCTAAACATTGACTTGATTTTTCAAATTCCTTCATGAAAATGAATATCAATGACTTAAATTACTTAAAAATCTTTTTTCCCCTTTATAGTCTTAGCTTGTATTTGAACTATTTATTTGAGTGTGCAGAAATCCAAGCAGTTTCTTCTCTGTGGGAAGCATAAAGAAGGCTTAGGAATTGCAACACAAGAGCCTGGCCTGAAGCCCTGCTTATGCATTTGCTAACTATGTCAAGTATCATGATAGAAGTAGAAAATGTATTCTAGGAGTGGAAGAGTTCGTGGAAAGGACAGTTTTGTCAGCAACGGTGTGGCGGCTCTGCATTTTATGCAAGAGAGGCTCAGAGAGTGGGTTGAGGTGGGAACTAGACATATCTTAATGCAGCCTTTGCATAGGAAACATGTTTTTACTTCTATGGTGTTCTCATTTGGATGGGTTGAGAAACTGAGATTATAACAAGACTAATTCTAACACTAGCCCCAGCCACCACCTCCAGATTCTTAGAATCTTATCTGCAAACCACAGTTCAAAAAAAGTCAATCAAGAGAATTTTCCCCCTCAAAAAAAGGCAAGCCAACTGTCAAAGACACTTTCGAGAGTATTCACTCTGGCTGACTGGAAAAGTTATGAAAATTATATTAAAGACCCTTAAAAGATGAATAGTTGTTTAAGTAAAAGGACTATGTATATTTAAGCTGTCTTGTATCTCCAGCCCCAACCCTAGATGGCATTTGATAGATGCAAGACAGAAAATAAAAGAAATGCTAAATCAGGTGGAAAAGGATACAGCTTCCTAGATATCACGGCACATGAGAAGTACACACAAGCAAGAGAGGAAATGCAAGCAACCACAGTGTTAAGGACCAAGAAGACCAAAAGGGACACCAGGAATACATTAAAAGCCAAAAGAGCACTTGGAAGCTTAAGATATTTGAACTTCAACATGTTCAACTTAAAAATATATAAATTTAAAAATCATTTTAAAGAGAGATAGTTACTGATATGGTTTGGCTGTATCTCCACCCAAATCTCATCTTGAATTGCAATCTCTATAATCTCCAAGTGTGGAAAGGACATGATGGGAGGCAACTGAATCACGGAGGCGGCTTTCCCCATGCTGTTCTCATGATAGTGAGTGAGTTTTCACAAGATCTGATAGTTTTATAAGCCTCTGGCATTTATTCTGCTGGCACTCATTCTCTCTCCTGCTGCCCTGTGAAGAGGTGGCTTCCACCATGATTGCAAGTTTCCTGAGGACTCCCCAGCTATGCAAAACTGTGAGTCAAGTAAGCCTCTTTTCTTTATAAATTACTCAGTCTTAGGTATTTTTTCCTAATGGTGTGAGAACAGACTAATACAGTTACTGACTAAACTACAGAAAATCAAGAATGTAGCATTAACCTCTAAAATGTCACATTTGTTTAAAACAGACAACTAGAATGTATTCAGTCAGTATGTCATTTACCATTTTGAAAACATTCAGGTCTTAGGAATACGCAATCAGATTATGAAACAATTACATTGTTCTCCAAATCTTCTGGCATAAAGTACCCAATACATCAATCATTTCACATCCTTGAAGAAGTCTCATCCTCTGCACCTGTTCATCTTCATGACAGTGTTGGTGTCATCTTAAGCAAAAGTGGGAAAGGCTTGTTTCTTGGTACTACATTGGGATTCTTTGTTTTGGTCTCAGATGAAATTTATTGTGCTGAGTTCTAAATATCCAACTCAATGCTTTGAAATGTACTTTTGCATATCTGAGTTTGCATTACTACTTTAATACTTGCTGGCATTTTGAACATGAATAAGTTGAATATGTGAAAGCATACAGTTCATGGGGTTTCATGAAGCCTAAAAGAGAAAGGAATACAATGTGTGGTAGCGGGTTTTTCACAGTGCTTGACACCAAACACATCTTCGCCTTCTTTACTAAATAAGTCAGCACATATTTATTGAGTATCAACTGTGTATCTGATTCTGTAATATCTCTGTGTGATGCCAATTAAAGTCATTTATTTAACAATCTATCATTAAGTATCTACAATAAGACTGCTGAGTACTGTACTGATTCCTGGGGTGGGAAGTGAGGTAATCAGTTCAGATAATAAGGCACATGGCTGCGTCCCAGGAACAACAAGGCAAGCATGACTGTCAGGTACCCAATCTACACTCTGCTAAGTGCTAGGCAGGGAAGAGTGATGTCTAGGTGACTAATAGACTTACAATGCCTAATCCTTGCTAACCTCTAAGCACTTGTTTAGAGACACTGGATGTGGTTATAGCATTTTAAAAGATAAATAAGCCCTCCATAAGGCAGTTCATGGATTTCTCATATGCTATTACATTGACTAGATCAATAAAGGGTGGGATGCCCCCATCAATCGCTAGTAACATGGTGATCTCACAAGTGCATTACCTACAACTTGACTATCACGTTGACTTCAGAAAGAGAATGGAGGCTTTTCTGCATTATTCCACAAATATTTTTATGTTTTTTTTCCAAAGAGGAGAGAGACTCACATTACGCTTTATTCAGTCATGTTTATCTTACTCATCTCTGACAGCATACATGAAAGATCTTACACATGGAACAAAGGGAAGGTTTGTGGATCTTATTTGACTCTTGGCTTAACCATAGCCAACTGTTTTTCAGCAGGTTCTTAATTTATCTGAATCTTATTTATGTAATGTGATTAAAATCTTAATTATCATTCATTTTGAGTTTAAAGGCCCCAATGCATTATAGACATGCAGTATTAATTTTATCATGCATCTTCTCTGCTTTAAAATTTCTCTTTCCATTTGAATAGACATTTTTCCAAAGAATGCATATATATGTACATCCAACAAACACATGAAAAGATGTCCAAAATTGTTAGTTTTTATGTAAAACAAAATCAAACCTACAATGAAATATCACTTTACATCCATTAGAACAGACAACAACAAGTATTGGCAAGAATGTAGAGAAACAGAAACACTCAGACCATGCTAGGGAAAGTAAAATGGTACAGCAGCTGTAGAAAAGTTTGATCATTCCTCAAGATGTTAAACAGAGTTACCATATGACCAAGCAATTCCACTCCTCACGTAAGAGTTTTGAAAACAAATGTTCATAATTGTTTATGAGTGTTTACATAAATATTATTCATAGTAGCCAAAGCAACTCCATTGTACACCAAGTGATGAATAAACAAAAGTAGAAAAAAAGTAGTACATCTATACAATGGAATATTATTCACTAATAAAAGACATTAGTTTCCGACTCATGCTACAGCATGGGTGAACCTTGAAAGCATTATGCTCAGTGAAAGAGGGGAGACATAAGTCTAAATATTATACAATCCCATTTATAGGAAATGTCCAGAATAGGCAAATCCGCAGAGACATAAAATAAATCAGTGGTTGCCAGAAGCAGGAAGGAAGAATGAAACTCTGTGTTCCTTTCTTTTAACCTTGGTTTCCTATAAACCCTCTTTTATGTTTCCAGTTTAGTAAAAAGTAAAAGGGGACAAAAATGGCTCAATAGTGAGGATTCTGCAAATAAATAACAGTCAATTTCATGTTAATGCCATTTGAGGAAAAAAAAGAAGAAAAATCCTCATGTACCACCCCAAAAGTGATTGCCTTATTAACAAATTTGACTCCCAGACCTTTGTTTCAGAAAAAGTATTATTGAGAAAATTGGTCCATTCTCTGTGATTGCTGGAAAGCAATTAAAACAAAAATCAAAGAGCTATAAAGCATCTGTTCATTTCCAATTCTTATCTCTCCATTTGCAGAACTAAGAGCTATAAATTATAGTGCTTGTGGATCATTCAATATTTTCAGTATGAAAGACAACGGTGGTCTTTAGCCTGGCCAACATGGAAAAACCCTGTCTCTAGTAAAAATACAAAAAGTAGCCAGGCATGGTGGCAGGCACCTGTAATTACAGCTACTTGGGAGGCTGAGGCAGGAGAATCACTTGAACCAGGGAGGCAGAAGTTGCAGTCAGCCAAGATCATACCACTGCACTTCAGTCTGAGCAACAGAGCAAGACTCTGTCAAAAAAAAAAGAAGAAGAAAGAAAGATAATGGTAGTCTTTGAAAGTTATTGCTGAGAAAATTTGGAATTTTCATCAGAAATTCCAATTTAAGTACAGATAATAGGCTAGAAATCTACTATCTAACTTTGCCTCTCTGATGATGGAAGCCATGTGCTTCCACCATCCTTTGCATTGATTGAAGTCGTTTCCCAATCTGCACCACAAAGTAGGAACATAGTAATTTTCCTTGATATCTGAAAAAGTTTGCAAGGGTACATTCTCTGTCTCTTCCACACTGCACTCCATATCTCCTTTTCTCTTCTACTGGTGTGACTTTGTATTTGTACATGCCTAGTAAAATGAGTTTTTACTCATCTACATGGCAAACTCTTCTACCGAGAATCAGATTTAGTTCATATAGAGAAGGGTTCAGTATGCTATGGTCCTGGGCCCAAATTTGGTCTGCCACTTATATTTGTAATTAAAATTTTGCTGAAACAGTGCTAAACTCATCTGTTCATGCATGTCTATGGCTTTTTGAGCTCCAATGAGTTGAGTAGTTGTGAAAGAAACCACATGACCCATAAAGCCTAAATGTATATTATTTGACCTTTTATAGAATTTACCAACCCTTTATATGAAACATTACTGGGGAAGGTGGCTTTCTCACAGCTTACGTATTTGAACTACTAGGCATTTTTGGCATTTATTTCAGTGCTTTAGTGAAATATATTTCAATAAATATATATGGAAGATGTGCAACCAAAATTTAACCACTAGGGCATTGGAGTA